AATATTATGGCTCAAACAATAACTTTGTGACTAAGGACTCGATCTAAGATGCATTCCTCTTCGGTGCGACAATACAAGTGCAATAAACATTACAAAGAATCCGGTCATGCACTCAAGAATCAAACACATCGACATACGACATCACTTTCTTCGTGATCATGTACTTCAAGGAGATGTCGAGGTAACATTTGTAGATACTCAAAAAGAAGGGAAAGATGCATAAAAATATACATACATACATATACTAAACCTTCTCCCCCTTTGTCATTAGCAAAAAAAGGAATGGGGAAAGACTTAAAATATATAATAAAATTATAAACATAAAAACAATTTTTACCTATGAGTTTTACCTTAAGAGTGACTTCATAAACCATTCATCCTTGATGAATTTGAAGCATTTTCAACAAAGTTGTCTTTTACTTAGAAGTTGTCTTTTGTTCTTCAATATAAAGTACATCTTCAATGGATATGAAAGTTAGTGTATGAACTTTGCCAATGCCAAGAATTCTTCCTTTAAGGTATTTCCCATATGTGAAATAATCCTTGGACTTGAACTAGATTTGAAAGTTAGTGTATATCTTCCATCAAATGCTTAGAGCCACCACTTATCAAAACATTATAGATTTAAAGTGGTCCTCAAGCAAACTTACAAAACAAATTAAGTTTGATTTAGTGCCCAATGTGCTTTGGGTTCATCATAGTTAGTGATGATGGAGGGGTGAATTAGGTACTTTAAAAATATGTATGGTTTTAGTGATGATGGATATTATTTTTCTGGTTTAGTGCATGAGTTTACAAATGTGTTTCTTTCTTTTCTGGTTTATGACTAGTGATGAAAGCGATAAATGCGGAAAAGTAAAGAACACAAAGATGTATCATGGTTCCCCTCACAGTCCGAGAATACTCCAGTCCCCTTTCAACATGAAAAAGATTTCCTTATTGTTAGATCTCTAGACAAGACACCCTAGTCCTTCTATACAAGACTCTAACCAATAAAACCACCAAGAACAATCCTCTTGGACCAAGAACAATCCTCTTGGATTTTCACTACATCAACAATGAGAACAATCCTCTCAAGGTGACCTTACTTGTATCCAACAATCCTGGAAAAACAAGATTACAAAACCACTTGAACTTATTTTCAACAATCCTGAAAAATAAGAAAGTGTATAGCAATATTTGATTGGTAGAGTTTGTAGTGTAATAATCACTTTGAGTGATTTTATCAATGACTTGATCTTCTCTTCTAATAACAATAATATACAATGACTCAAGACTATAGAATGCTTAAAGTTTTCTATTTAACAATATATGAAAATGTGCAGAAAAACTTTGTGTATGAAAGTGAAGAGAAAGCTTGAGTTTTGATATTTTAAAATTCAGAAACTATTGATTGGAAGAGGTACAAAATGATTTTGAAAATTCAGTATTTATATGTTCATAGCACCTCTTTGAAACAACATAAGTTTATGTAAATTAATCATGAACAATTGCCTAGTTTCAATGAAAAGTTTCCATGAAATGGTGTTATGAAAAGGTATGTTCAAAGCTGCTGATTTTCAAAAACGTTCAGCATGCAATCGATTACACCCTTGTGAAAATCGATTGCATGGGTTTTAACAGCTAAAAAATTCAAATATTTTCATTGAGCAATCGATTGCACATGTGTGTAAATTGTTTGCACTTTAAAACAGTAGCAAAATTTGATAGAGCAATCGATTGCACAAAAATGCAAATCAATTGCACTTAGAAACAGTAGCTAACATTTTGAAAACGTGAAGCATGCAATCGATTTCACCAACATGCAAATCGATTGCACATAAGTGAAAATTGATTTTTTGCTTAGAAAATTTGAGAAAAAGTTTGGACAAGATAAAACACTTCTTTTGATCATTGAACATCTAAGACTTAAGTTCATAGCAAGAATTATTATTATACCTTATGAAATTTGCCAAGAGCTTGAACCAAAGACTTTTATCCATTAAAGCTTTAACTTGATCAACATCTTTGCCTTCTTGCCAATATAGTTTGTCTTCATCAAATCAAAGTGCGTTGAGAATCATTTGAGAAGCTTGATATTACAAATTTCACCTTCAATACCCACTTGACATCAATTTCCTTCTTACCTTGAGGCAATTCGACAAGTGACCAAGTGTTGTTGACTTCGATAGACTTCAATTCCTCATTCATTGCATTCACCCACTTCGAATTCTTCAATGACTCAACTGCTTTTCCGAACTGTTTTTAAATTTAAATCAAGTGTTGGTATAGCTTATAATCACTTTTGATTATAAGTGGTTTTGTGTATCAACACAACTAAAAGAAAAATTCTGAAAATTCACTTACACACCAAGTATTTGATAAATTGATTTAACTTATTCTTTTAATATTGCCATTGAAAATAACTTACAATAAACATTAAATAAACTGTAAAGTGATTCAAACATATTAATTCAATTATCGTTCTTATTTCATATTGACTTTTGTTCTTATCGGCCAAAACCCCACTCTCAGTCCTGCTGAATTTCATTCTGTAACCTTCACGAGCTACTACACCCAACTCACCACAACTTCAATCACCGTTGTAATCGTTTCCTTCGAAAATCATCTTCCCACTTCCTCAATCCAGCACATTATCTCCTACTGCCACAACAAGCACAACATACTCCCCCTGTGGTTTTTGTTTTAACGTTTTTCTTTTTCTTGTTCTTTTTTCATTTAAAATTTCGTTTAGTTTGTTTTATATATATATATATATATATATATATATATATATATATATATATATATATATATATATAAATTTAGTTTTTGTTTTTGTTTATTTTATTTTATTAATTGTTTAGATATTATTTATTTATTTTTAATTAATTTCATTAGTATGTAATAAAGATTTTAGAGTGTAATATGGGCTTTTGATATTTGGCTTCTTTCTAAACTCATTCATGTTGACACTCTCTATCTAATACTTTCACTTCTTTTATTTTAGTTTTATGATATTGTAAATAAATTTAAGTAGTGTTGCTTATTTTATATTATTATATTATGATTTCAAAGTTAATTCTAATTTAATAACGTATTTCGACACTTCGACAACTAATTCAACTCAACATAATATTGATCTAATTCGACACACCTTTATGTTGAACAATATATCGCTTCGATACAAAGGAATTGCGTCACTCTTATAATTGAATCTAACAACAAATTTGCATAACTGTTCTTCATCACTTTAACTTCTATTCCAAAACACATATGTTATAATAACTTTATTATTTTTTATCCTCACAAAAATTATTCATGATTAAATACAATTATCACCTTTTTAAATTTAATTTACATAATTTTTTCATTGTCTTTCAATTATATCATTCAAGATTCTCATATTTATCTATACTCTAATCCATATCTTTTTTTTTTTTATAGTCTAATATCTTAAAAAATATTAATAATACTATTTTATTAAATTATAAGACTATTACAAATATAAATCGATGACACCATTAAAAAATAAAATAAAATATAAAATGGCTAACAAAAAATTATAATGAAAAATATTTTAAATTCTTACAAAACTTACTAATGACAATAATAAATATTTTAAGTTATGTACTATAAATAATACTAATTAACCAGAAATTTAAGGGAAGAAAATATAGACTATTTTTTATTATAAGAATTTATACTCTACTTATGCCTCCTCAATTATATGTATTATCCATAATAATTATAATAACAAATATACTTTAGATTAAAATACAAATTAATTGGATAACTAATTCATTTTAGTATGAGATAAAAACAATTGAAAGATGGTATAATAGTTTTTGAATTATTTTGTAAACAAAATAAATATAAAACTGTTAGAAAATTTAATAATATCAATAATAAATATCTTAATTTTGACACTATCAACATTACCAATAAACTAAATATATTTAAAAAATAAAATGAATTATATATACTTACAAATATTTAATTTTATAACAAATATAAAATCAAAGATTTCATTATAATATAATCACATATCCTTAATATGATCACAATAGATTAAATTTAGAAAACTTTGTATAAATACTTTCGTTTTTTTAATTTAAATTTATTCCAAAATATATATATATATAATGTATATCATGCTTTTTTTTAATTATTAAAAATATATATCGTGAATTAAATAGAAACTTAAAAGTTTGTTACATTTCTTCGTTATAATTATACAAATTGAAACTATTTCGTCTCATTCTTTATTTAGTTTCATACCATAAAATTATATTATTAATTATAATTATAAAACTTAAGAATTAAATTCTCTGTATAATATCATTTCATATATAATATTTTAAAATATGTACTCTCAAATCATCTCAATAAATATGATATATATTTCAAGTTATTGAATTGTGCCTAATTATTATATATATATATTTCCAAAAAAATTCTAATAAATTATCTCAATAGCATTACATATAATTACATTAAAAAAAATTAAATATACTTGAAATTATGGGATAAAAATAGAAAAAAATTATTTTAAAAAAATTCAACTTATTTATATTTACTTGATTATCCTAAATATATAGCTTATATTATAGTTTTAAATATAAATATAAATTGACTAATCATACTTACCAATATAAAATATATCAACTACAATTAAAATTTCAATAGAAAAATAAATTAATGTTTATCTGCGCATCGCACATGTCCTAATCTAATTTATAATTAATTCTTACTAGGGGCATTTATTTGTGGGGAAAATTCTCACCAAACTAAAATCCAAACCAATTCATAGTGTTTGGATTTGATTTTTTTTGTTTAGACAAAAACAAAACCAAGCTAATAAAATTCAATATTAATTGGTTTGAATACTGAATTTTCAGAATTTTATAAGCAAATCTGTTGATTCCAACTAATGATAATTAATTAATATAATAAATATGATCATTATCATAGAAATTAGTATAAGGTATTAATGGTATTTTTAATAATACACATTGGTTAAACTTAAGAAAATTAGAGAACGTGAAACAAGTATTTGACCTTTTCACCATGTTACTCTCCTCATTTTCCTCCCATCTTTTATTCCTCACTTTCCACCCTTCAACAGTGTCACATCTTTTGTTTTTCCCAACACAACACAACACAATCATTCGCATAACCAAATCCTTTCTCCACTGTCGGTGCAATCACATACATGATCCTGTTGCAACATTCATCTCTTTTACTTTACTCACCCATCAAAAACCCTCACTAAATTTATCAACTTTTTTGCAACATCTCAAATGGGTTTGCCTTCAAAATTCCATTTTTGAACTTTTTTCATGATGGGTGATCTATCAAGTTTCCATTAAACCTTGTTTAGTTTCTTGTGGTAGGTAGGTTTATTGTATGTTAGATTTAGCAGTTATAAAAAATGGATCTAGGACTTTTTAGATTTCTATGTCAAGCAGAAACAAGAAGATTAGTTTCATTGTTAGGAGTAACCATAACTATACTTTTAGTTCTTCAATTTTCTGAACTTCCAAATAGTGAGTTTTTTTCTTCTCTTACTGCCAAAATCAAAAGTTTCACAATGGATACACCTTTGGTTAACTCTACAATAGAGACTCATAATGGAAATGTGAATTTATATGCTTCAAATTCGAGCTCAATTAGTCCTCAAACATCTTCATTAGATGAAGTTGCAAGTTTAGAAAAGGGTAAACGAGTTGAAACTGTTGATGTTTTTAGAAATCATAGTTCACAAGAGAATCAATCTTCCTTGCTTGCACCACAACCTATGGTGCCTTTGTCCAATACATCATTCTTTGATTCAAAAGTGTATCCAAAGGATGGAATTTTGAGTTCTTTGCAACGTAGCAATGCGACGACCGTTAAAGATGCTTCTGCGATTTGGAAGAATTCCAAAAGGAGGCCTTCTAAAGTAGTTTCAATATCTGAAATGAACTTAATCTTGCAGCATAACCATGATTCTTCGCAGGGAGCGGTATGCATTGGATTATAAGACATACATATATCTTAGTATGTATATGGAAGTTTGTTATTAGATTTCTAATTTGGTTTGTTTTAACTTTTTTGTGTAGAAACCCGCGAGTTCTTCCGCTGTTAATGCGGAGATATTGAATGCAAAATCGGAGATTGAAAATGCGCCTATTGTTATGAATGATTCGAGACTTTACTCACCTTTATACCGGAATGTTTCCATGTTTAAAAGGTATCATTAACAATTATCATCTTTCAATGTACAAAATCTAGTCTTGAGCCTAATTCAATGCTTTAAGAAGTCTTGGATCTTTTATAGAGAATCTAGGTAGTGGATCTTTTACGGAGAGTCCAGAGGCTCGTGCATATCAATGTTGTGTTTTCTAGGACTATGAAATTAGTATTTATGAGAATTGATTTTGTCATTCAAAAAAGGATCGGCGAAGCTTGTTGCCCGTTTGCCTTCCAGCCTAATTCACTGCATTAAGATTAAACAATAACTGAGGAAGATTCTGATGAGTAAATTGATATTAATAGTTTGATTAGATAACAATTGCAGCTTTACATATATAAATAAAAACTTTGCATCTGATATGAGTTCATGATTCTGGCAAATGTTAGTAAGTTAGTAGCTATATCGATTTCCAACGAATGAACCTTTTTCTTAAAACTCGGTTTCTCTTGTAGGAGTTATGAACTAATGGAGAAGATGTTGAAAGTTTTCATCTATCAAGACGGAGACAAGCCAATCTTCCACGAACCCTTATTGGAAGGAATATATGCGTCCGAAGGATGGTTTATGAAATCAATGGAAGGAAACAAACAGTTTACAACTCGAGATCCTGAGAAGGCTCACTTGTTTTACATACCTTTCAGTTCAAGATTGTTGCAGTTAACTCTTTATGTACGTAATTCGCACAAACGTTCAAACCTAATCGAGTACATGAAAAACTATGTCGATGTGATTGCTGGAAAGTACCCTTTCTGGAATAGAACTAATGGAACAGATCACTTCGTTGTTGCTTGCCATGATTGGGTATGGTTCTTTATATTATGCAAATCATGATACATGCATTTTCTTGGCCTTTTCGCAAAAATAACTATAACTTTCAGTCTCATCAGTAATAATTTCTCAGGCTCCTGCAGAAACACGAGGGCGAATGCTAAATTGCATCAGAGCACTATGCAACGCGGACACTGAAGTAGGATTCGAGATCGGAAAAGATGTATCTCTTCCCGAAACATACGTTAGATCAGATGAGAATCCTCTCAAAAACATAGGAGGCAACCCTCCTTCTCAAAGGCCTATCCTCGCCTTCTTTGCAGGCGGTTTACACGGTTACGTCCGGCCTATGCTATTAAATCTTTGGGAGAACAAAGAACCCGACATGAAAATCTCCGGCCCATTACCACACGTCAGAGGCAATAAAAACTACATCGAGCTCATGAAGAGTAGCAGATTCTGCATATGTGCAAGAGGTCACGAGGTTAATAGTCCACGCGTGGTCGAGGCGATATTCCACGAGTGTGTTCCTGTTATCATATCTGATAACTTTATTCCTCCTTTATTCGAGGTTTTAAATTGGGAGTCTTTTGCTGTGTTCATCAAGGAGAAACATATCGCGTATTTGAGAGATGTACTAGTTTCGATCTCGGAGGAAAGATACTTGGAAATGCATAAGAGGGTGAAAATGGTGCAAGAGCATTTTCTTTGGCATCATGAGCCTGTTAAGTATGATTTGTTTCACATGCTTCTTCATTCAATTTGGTATAATAGAGTTTTCTATACAAGTTAGATGTAGTAATTGTGTATCAATTTTGTAGAATTAGAATTCTTTGTGTAAACATAACAGCTAAAGCAAGAATAATTCATAGTAGTCGAGTACACCCTTTACAAATTAAAATGTTGATTCATAAAAGAAATGCGATTTCAAATTGCAGATGTTCTTTGTAAAGTCTACGACCGTCCACGTTGACCACTTCACGATGAATTCATGGATGTCACTTCCATCCATACTATTGTCTCCAGTGATGATCCTGCAAGTTACACAATCAAGAGAAGTCAATAACGTTTACATATATTAGACAGAAGGAGCAAACTTTTATAATTTATTGTTTAATAAAATACAATCTTGGTTTTTATATAGACTTAAAAATTTCTATTATTCTAAAAAAGTAAATGTTATTAGTAAATATTATTATAATCCACTATTTTTTGACCTTCCAATTACATTTGATTTTTAACCTTCCCACTACCTTATTAATAAAAATTCACTACTTATAACATTTAAAGTTTATTTAACAAAGCTCCTCTGTAAACTTAAATGTTTCTTCCATCCATCATGCCTAGCAATTTCTTGTCTCTGTCGGAAATTTCTTTCGACAATGGTTTTGTGAAAATAGCTGCTGCTTGATCCTTGCTTGCTACATGTCTCAATTCGACACTTCCTTCCTTCGCATGTTCTTGAATGAAGTGGAATCGAACGTCAATGTGTTTGCTTCTTTCATGGTTTACTGGATTCTTTGCCAACTCGATTGTTGGTTTGTTGTCCACTTGTATTACTGTTGCACCTTTCTGTTTTAGCTTCATCTTGCTCATCAATCTTCTAAGCCATACTGCATGACAAACGCACCAAGATGCTGCCACATATTCAGCTTCACACGTAGAAAGTGTTACTATCGATTGCTTTTTAGAAAGCCAAGTAAATGTTGTGTTTCCCATGAAGAACACATATCCAAGAGTGTTTTTTCGATTGTCTATATCTCCACACTAATCACTGTCAGAGTAACCAACTAACTTGTAGTCTTCTGTTCTTGAATAGAACATTCCAAATGATATTGTTCCTTGGATGTACCTTAGGATTCGTTTCAATGCCTTCCAATGTGAATGTACTGGCTCCTCCATGAATCGACTTAGAATGCCAACACTTAATGAAATGTCTGGCCTTGTGCATGTGAGATAGCGAAGACTACCTACCAAACTTTGATATTTTCTTACTTCGACACGTTCTCCTCCATCAAATTTCGACAATTATGCGCCTAGTTCCATTGGCGTCGAAGTTGGATTACAACTTTTCATCTTATATTTTTCCAAGATTTCTTTTGCATATTTTTCTTTGTGAAATAAAAATTCCAGTTTCTTCTTGTTGAACCTCCAGACCAAGAAAGAATCTCATCAGACCTAAGTCTGTCATTTCGAATTCGCGTGTCATGGTGCTTTTGAATTCTTCTATCATTTGAACATCATTGCCTAAAAAATTAGGTCATCAACATAGAGAGCAACAAGTAATACATTACTTCCATTTTTCTTCACATAAAGGGCATGTTCATACGAATATTGTTCGAACCCATTCTCCTTGAAATATGTGTCTATGCGTGTGTTCCATGTACGTGGTGCCTGCTTCAGCCCATATAGCGCTTTCTTCAATTTCAGCACCTTCTTCTCTTCTCCAATCCTCATATACCCGAGTGGTATTTCGACATAGATTTCTTCTTCGAGCACACCATTTAAAAATGTTGTCTTGACATCCATTTGAAATATTGGCCACTTGAATTGAGCAGCTTGAGAAATGAGCAATCTAATCGTCTCCATTCTTGCAACAGGTGCAAACACTTCATCATATTCAATTCCTGCTTTCTGTTTGTATCCCTTTGCAAGAAATCGTGCTTTGTATCGTTCTATTTCTCCTTGAGCGTTCATCTTTTTCTTGAATACCCACTTTACACCAATAGGTTGACTACTTTTTGACAATTCGACTTGCTCCCAGGTGTTGTTGTGGTCTATTGCTCTAATCTCTTCGTCCATGCACTTTTCTACTTCTTGTCGTGTAACGCTTCTTCGACACTGATGTTTTCAGCATCTGCCCGAAGGCACACAAGGTGTACCTCATTTGTCGAATCATATAAGTTTTGCAAACTTCGCATTCTGGGTTGTAGAGGTTCATCTTCATTTTCAGTATCTTCATATTTTGTTGAAATGCTTGTTGGTACAACTATAGATGATTCTTCGACTGCGTCTATAACTTCTGTCGAATTATTACAATCCTACTTGCTTGCTTCATTTATTTAAACGTCTCTACTCACGATCACTTTCTTGCTTACGGGGTCGAATAGCTTGTACCCTTTTGTCTTCTCATCATACCCAATGGATATATACTTTTGACTTTTGTCTTCAAGTTTTGTTCTTTGTTGATCTGGTACATGTGCATAAGCTACACTACCAAATACATTAAGATGAAAAATTGTTGGCTTCTGTCCGCTCCATGCTTCTTGTGGTGTTTAATCTTCTAACTTCGAATGTGGACATCGATTCTGAACATAAATAGCACATTGTAGAGCTTCTGCCCATAATTCTTTCGACATGTTCTTGCTCTTAAGCATTGATCGAATCATGTCAAGAATAGTTCGATTCTTTCTGTGATACGGTGGCAGAACCGATTGTTAATACTGGTTTGTGTTTTTTGTTTGCAAATGTCGCAGTAAACAAGAGTCGCCACCGACTTTTATTTTATCCAATCAGGAAAAAGAAAAAGAACAGAAAAAAAAACCTTTTTCGAGATGTTTCTGAGTACAGGGGGTAGATTATAGAAAGGGAAGGTGTTAGCACCCTTTCTATCCGTGGTTTTCCACAGGCTCTTAGGTACTTTCTCATTTTGAAAACTGCTTGTGTGTGCTTGTTTTGAAAAGTTTTGTTTTACTTCGTATTAACCCTTGTTTGTGTCCTCAAGAGTGTTACGAAGTTGTTTTTGAAAACTTTGTTTGAAAAGTGTTGGTGTGAAAAAGTTTTTGTTTGTTTGAGCAAGTACCTAGGAACTAATCTACCTACTCGAAAAAGGTATGTTCGTTTTCCTTTTAGACAATGCTATCCCATTATTGAGAAATAGGTAGCATCGTCGTTGGAGCTTTTTAGGGACACTCGAAGGGACAAATACGATCACAATAGCAATGTTAGGAAATGTTAGTAATCATCCTAAAGTCTTAAAGATCTTTTTTCGAGGCAACATCCGAATGGGTCATTTTAGATCTTTCGGGGCTAGAGGACAACCACTAACAAACCCTATACTTCATGACCGTTTACCGAAGACAACCGGAGTGGAGTAAACCCTAGGAGTGAGCATGTGCGAGTGTAATTTTCAGTTAATTTATCTTTGCACATTTAGGGTTTTCTACCGTATTAATTTTCAGTTTGTCTTTCCATACAATCCTATGAACATACATCTAAGCAATTTATAGTTTACGGAAATTAAAGCGAGAAAGTTAAAGTCCTAGCTATTACAGGGCTTTTGCAGATACATAATTATTTTGATCGAAAATAAAGATGCGGAATTGAAACCCTAATTACTAATACAAACTCGGAGCAGTTACAATAATAATAAAAAGGAAATTAAAAAATGTGCGCGACGAATTAAAAGCGAGAATAATTATCAAAACCTAAAAGATCTAATTAAAAAAAATGTTTAGGTTAGTTTTTTGAGAAAAAATCAGATTATATACAAAATTAAATCCTAAGTCTAATCATTTTAAATTATGACAAAAGAAAGAATTAAATTGCCCTAATTTAATTAAACTAATTAATTAATTAAAGAAACAAAATATTTTTTTATGAAAAATGATTTTGGATGTTTTTTATGATTTTTTGATTAAATGAAAAAAGTAATGATTTTTATGTTATTTTTAAAAAGAAAATAATTAGAAAATAATTAAAAGAATTAAAATAAAAAAGATAGAATGGGCATGTTAGAAGCTGAATGAGGGGGTATGATGCTGAATTGCTTAGGCCCATGAAGCTGAGCCCATTCCATGCGTGTGATTCCCTGTTGTGCCAGCCTAGGAGTGCACCATAGTCCTTCCTTAGTTGAGGCGTTGGATCTGGCTAGCAATGAATCCAATGGCAAGATGGTGACATCGCATGGGAGGCACTTGGAAAGGCAATGCACATAATATGTAGAAACAAAGTGAGAAAATAAAATTTGCTGGGACCTGGGATCGAACCCAGGTCCTCCCACTCAAATCAATAGACGTCTTGCCATCTGGGCTATCTGCTTTGTTTGTTAGTATAATAAAAACAAATAATAATATATGAAAACATATGGATAAAAACAAAAACGCGTGCCAACATTTGAATGGACCAGTACCATGATGCCAAGTCATCGTCTCCTTCATTGAGACCGTCGTCTTAGGTATCACCTTTTACCTACAGACAAACGTCTGTAGCCATAGCCTGTACACTTCAAACATTAAGAAATACGCATGATAAATGAAATTAAAGACCATGGTTCAACTTATCTTGATGCCACGAACACCATGGCATCCTTTTCTTGGCCTAATTTAGCCTGTAGAGAAAAAACCTAAAACGGCCATGAAAACCCTAACAATGGAAAACACAAATACAAGCCTCAAAACTTCAATTAAACAATCCAGGCATGTTGCAAATACATCAATAATCACAAGTATATCATTAAAATAGGCTAATGATGCAAGAATTGTTGTAATCGATTTTGAAAAAGAAAGCAAGCCGTATGAAGTCTAGGGGTTGATTTTGGGCGTGAGGATGCGTGAAACTGGTCGTGTTAGCTTCAGAGAGGCTTCAGGAAACGATTGGGAGTATTGGAATGGCTTGAATTTCCTTCTAGGTCCAAAAACGATCTAGCACTTTTGTCCAATTTTTGAGTTTTGGTATGACATTTTACGACTGCAAATCCTTGTCTTTTTTTGACTTGTTCTTGCTCAATATATATGTTAGAATGAATTAGGGTAAAAAAAAACAATTTGAATCTTTGAAGATCATCAATATTTG